AAACAAAACAAAAAAAGGGACAAACATCTAAACATCCTTAAATCAAGATACATTTACTTGAGATGCAAAATGAAGTCTTGTTTTCTTAAAAAAAAAAATGGAATAAAATTGAGCGTTTATGCTTAAATCAAAAAACTCGTATCTGTCAGTGGAGTATGAAACTTGTTTTCCCTTTGAATTAAGTTGCTAAGCCCACTGGCAGATATTTGTTTTTGTTTTAAACTCATTTTATTTTGACCAATTTATCATAAAACAAGACTTGCTATTGTGTGTCATTTTGCAGTGTCATCAGAAGATACAGTTTAAGTTATTTTTATACCATAAATGTGCTTTTTTGTAAAGCGAGTAAAAAAAATAAATAAAAGTTACGGAAATCTGTAGGAAACTGTATTTCAAACTTTAAAGTGTTGCTAATTCATTGTGCTTTCTAGACATTTACATTCAGAAAATCTATTTACTTATTATGCTCCTTAAATTTTCTTTAACTGGTCTTAAAAGGCTCTTGGAAAAAGTCTTCCATATATCTTCATAAAATCTGCAGAAACTCTTTATATATTGCTCTCATGTAGATTCAAATTTGCAAGTCATGGTGATGTCTAATTTGTTAGTGAATCATTCATTTGAGTTGATTCTTTTCAATGAATGGCTTATTGTGAAGCCTGAACGATTCATTTGTGAACAAGTCTGTATCTGAATGTCTTTTAAAATCCTTCATTCAGCGATGAATCAAATTAATAGAGAGGTATACAAACTAAACAGACATGTTTTGTCCTCATTTGCATCGTATCCCAAAATGCTACTTGTGAAAACACTACAGATGCGATGCATCACAACAAAAGAACAGTTTAGATCTAGAAAAACTTGATCTTCTCATTGGCAACTTGGCAGAAGTAAAAACTTTGACACCTTTTACCAATTATAATTGCTTCCTCTACACTCCCTAAACCAGTTGCAAGATTTTACCGGATCGCACAGCTCTCTTCTATTGACTGTGAAGCAGTTTTAGAAAACATTAAGCCTCAGTTGACTAGCCATTGACTAGTCATTGTACAAAAGAGCCTAAAAACTGCCCTTGAGGGCCATTGCATCAGCCGCTGGAGGTGGAGCCTGGCCTGCACACAAACACCCTCCTCCTGAAGATAAGAACTGGCCTTTTTCACACAAACTCTGGTGAACTTACCTCCCTAAGTACATTTATGAGAGTCTGAACCCTAGTCATTCACAACTTTAGTTTGCACATGATTAAACTCTTGGGACTTTAATAAAGAATCAGACAAGCTGCAAAGTTGTGACAACGTCTCGTTACTTGAGAGCCTTGAATCCAGTTGGTTGCTCTTCAGAGTTCATTAAGGTCATGGCAACTACTTGCCCCAACCTCGGCCCTCCTCAAGGTCTTAGCGGTGAAGGATAAAACAATACTGGTGTTCTGGAGAATGAACTCACCTTCATAAACAAACCGAACATTTTCCTCGTGTGCTGGGGTGAATCCCTCAGTAGTATTTTCAGCTTTTGGAGAGGTTGATCTGTGGAACCGCTTTCCGTTCAGCCGGTGAAATACAATCTTAGGCGCTGGTGACCTGCAAACAATAGATCAATATGGGTTTTCAGTAATAAATTCTTGGATTTTTACATTTGGTCTCCTTTAATTCCAACTCCTTTTTACAGTGCATTCATCTCTCATTTACATAGTTTCAATTTAAATAAAGGAATTGTATGTTCACTTAAAAAAAAAAAAACATTCACAAGCATTACGTGGAAAAGAGTACATTCTTTAACGTGTAAAAATATTCATACAGGATTCTAACGACTAAACGCGCATTTTTGGGTGAACTGTTCCTTTAATTCTAAATAACGTTACTTCCGCTCTTACACCACGTCGTTTCTATAGTAACAGCGACGCGTTATGAAACCCGTTTGTTTATTATATCAGCATGACAAGCGACATTAATTAAACAAGCGGAATGTCAGACACAAACGCGAGGCCTGTCGTACAATGTTCCGCGACACGTTCTCCAGCCTAGAAAGCAGCACAGCGTCCTTGTGGGAGTATCGTTATATATCGGGGGTGTGACAAGCATGTGTTCGCATTATAATATAACCCCAAAAGATTAGTTACTAACCTACATATACAGGAATAATACGAATACAATCGCGACACAATCTTCAAACACGCCGACAACCCACGCGCTCTCGCGCTACACTTGCAAGGTCACGCGGCGCAAGAAAAACACAAGCGACTTCGGTAAATGCGTTAAAACGGGACGTCCTGGTTTACAAACGAGGCCAACATGTTCGCTACGGATACTTTTAAGTGTACTAAGCTTATAAACGAGACGGGGACGCTGGGGCGTTTTTAAAGGCGCAGTTAAATCCTTTTCAAGTTTCCCCTCAGCGACCAAACTCACGTGAAGAGATCGATTTGAGCTTAAATAAATGTTATTATCACTCACTCCGATACAAGCCAGTGGCTTTGCTTCTGTTTCAGGTCGTTCGCTTTGTTCTCAATCTGTTGCGTAGGGCCTGCAAGAAACAATATCTGTTAATATGTAACGCCAATAACCATATTAAATAGAAGCACGTGGTTATTCTTAAATATCTACTATAATAGCGTTAAATAAATGCACCATCTATATTGTGACCTGATATGTAACGTTATGCACGCTGGTTAAATTGTACCTGTTCTCCGTTGTGTAACAAGTTTGCTGGGACCTCTGGTTATTGTGTACATCATGTGAGAGACGGTCTCTGAGGAACCCCTGCGGCACGATGGATCCACGCGAGGTCTACGGATCGGTCCGCGCGAATGTCACGGTTATATGCACGCCAGAAAACGTGACGCGATCCCGCTTCACGCCGGAGCTCTCTTGACTCAGCCACCTTGGAAATGAGCGGCGATCCTGGTCGCAAATCTGCCGTGCAGACGCTTGCAGCCAGAGGACTTGAGCGCCGTGTGTTTGCTTGCAGCGAGCCTATATAAAGTCAGTCAAGGTTAAGAGCGTTTATTGCCCTGATTACGCGTCGGGGGGTCACTCGCGGAGAGTCCGGTGCGCTGGGAAGCTTTCTGAGCTCTGGTTGGGTCTGGACTGTTACTGCAATTTCGGACGTTCAGATCGCAACCTTCCTCCGTGACGTCACGGCACGCCCCCGCGACGCACACCCGGGGTCACCTTTCACCTAGTCACCCCGTGGACACCATCTAACCGGCTCTGTGTAAGTTACCATCTAAACACGGGCTTCATCATGCCGCCAAACATACAACTGATGACAAACGACCGCGCGATAATGATAAAGTCAGGCTGCGCAAATGTGCGCAGTGTTGCCAGCTAATTTTCAGGGAAAGTTACTTAAGGCAGGACAATTGATTTACAGGTCGCTTTGGATACAGGCGTCTGTTAAATGACTTAATGTAAATGACGTTGTGACGTCATTACGTAATCACAACGCAAGACTGCACAGAATACACGATCTCTGGGGGCTGTTTCATAAAACAACTTTAACAAACAAGCCAGGCTTATTTCAGTTGGTCAGACTTAATTTGAACCAAATCAATGGGCTTCACGCACCACGTGGGAACCGGCCAGGCTCAATTTGGTACACATTAACAGTTTGTGTGGGTCAAAACATACGGTTAATCTCGCTAATCTGCAATGCAGGTACTGAAGTTACACCTTTCACTCTTTAAACTAATATGATTGATTATAACAAGAAAAAAGAGAGAAAACCCCGTCTGAGGCGATTGTTACACAACAACGGTTGTACAACAGTCCTTGAAATGCAACTATTGGGACAAAACGGCTGTTAATTAATAATTTAATCGTTTTATTTAAGTATTACCACCAGAGAAAACAGAAACATGCCGCATTTTGAAGTAATCCTGAATTAGTATTTATGTATCCAACGTAAGGTTGGTGTTTGATAGCTGCCTGGGATCTTACCTCAGATCAAGATCTATTGCTTATACATTTCTTGCCCCCTCTTAAAGTAGGTATAACTACAGAATGATTTACATGTAACTTGTTCATTAGCCATCAATACCAGACTTTTAAACATGAAATGAACCCAAATAGGAAGGAATACACAACTATCTCTCTTTCATGAATGAGAGAAAAGCGTACATTAGCCTAAATAGTTTGTAGCTACGCAATTTTTCCAATGCTGTTTCTACACAAGTAGCATTAAAAAAGTAGCAGGTCTACTGAATAAATTCCCCTTACTTTCCTCAAACATGTCCTTCAATGAATTATGACATTAAAATGGAAATAAAATAATGATATGATATCTATATTGTCAAATTGGCTCACCTGAGTGGGTGTGTACAGTACATCCGAACACTGATATTTACATCTCCCGTATTATAAATTTCACACAATGAAAGCACTCCATTACCCTGTAAATTTCAAGTCTCTACTGCATGCTGCCTAAATCAGTGCAATTCATTACAGACACATACTTCAATATTTTGAGTGAAGCAGAACAGTGTAGTTGCTTGAATTATAAAAGGCCTAAACTAGTGATTGTACAATGTGGCGTTTCAGTAGTGAGGTTCACAGTCCTCTACGAGACTGTCGGTGATGTAGTTGATCTTCAGTAGTTGCTGGTAGTACTGCTTCTCCACAGCCGTGTTCACCGTCCAGCCCACCACCTCTACGCCTCGGGCTGCCCAGTACTGCACATAGTCCCTAGGGAAAAAACAGTGAGCATTTTATAGTGCAATACACACTCATATACTGTAGATGATTAGATCTGCTTTGAATGTTCTTATACTGATCCATATACTTGCTCTTGACATTTTTTTTTTTCTCAAAAAAAAATGAATTTATTGTATAGAGTGCTGCAGGAATGAGTTGCAAAACCCAGAAACGGATTAGCATTTTCCGTTCCATTGTCCTGAAGTCAATGTTGTTGTTGTTGTTTTTTTTAATGTTTTTTTTGGCTAAATGCCTTAAGTAAGGTTTGTGGTAAACACAAGCTCAAGATATATATATATATATATATGCGTTTCAGTAGTGAGGTTCACAGTCCTCTACGAGACTGTCGGTGATGTAGTTGATCTTCAGTAGTTGCTGGTAGTACTGCTTCTCCACAGCCGTGTTCACCGTCCAGCCCACCACCTCTACGCCTCGGGCTGCCCAGTACTGCACATAGTCCCTAGGGAAAAAACAGTGAGCATTTTATAGTGCAATACACACTCATATACTGTAGATGATTAGATCTGCTTTGAATGTTCTTATACTGATCCATATACTTGCTCTTGACATTTTTTTTTTTCTCAAAAAAAAATGAATTTATTGTATAGAGTGCTGCAGGAATGAGTTGCAAAACCCAGAAACGGATTAGCATTTTCCGTTCCATTGTCCTGAAGTCAATGTTGTTGTTGTTGTTTTTTTTAATGTTTTTTTTGGCTAAATGCCTTAAGTAAGGTTTGTGGTAAACACAAGCTCAAGATATATATATATATATATATATATAGATAGGACAGTAGAGAGAGACGACAGGAAAACACTGGGAGGAGAGAGGATTGGCAAAGGACCTCGAGCCGGGAATCGAACTCGGGTCGCCATGAGCGCAGTTGCACTGTATGTCGACACACTAACCACAAGGCTATTATGTTATTAAAAAACATCAGTAAAACTCCACAAATTTTTTTTTAAGCTTTTAGGCTTTTCTTTAAAAAGACAATTGCTAACAATGGCTAAATGGGACTACAGAGGTTGTCAAGGACATTAAATGTCATCACACTGAACACTACTCTAACCCAAACATGGTGGTGACTTTGAAGTCATGTGACCATGGTGTAGTTAGTTTATAGCGTACATTCAGCATTTTACTTCTGGCAAATGTAATTAGGCTTCACAAGTAAGAAGAAATTTAACATTTATTATGAACAAAACATGCAAGTTCCATTAACTTTTGTTGGCCACTGAGCGTATTTTCTGCAATAATCCAAAAGCCAATGGAAAAACCCTACTGGCTTTTTGTCAAGGGAACCAGGTGATTTTCCTGGTTTTAGGGTTGGCCTACAAAATTATGTCATTCCTACAGCACTCTATTTAAATAGTATTTGACTAAATCTAACCGCACCAATAAGATAATAATACCAGGAAAAACTAAATTAGAACGTTTACAGAAAAAAAAAAAGTGACTGGTACTTGTAAACTTGTCAAGACATTACGTGCGTCCCAATTTGTGCACTTAAGCACTATTCTATGCTGTTTTTAGGCCCTGCTTACACTAGTGCATTTTCGTTTTAAAATGAAAACAATCCTCGTCTACACTGGCGTTTTCACTGCGTTTCAGAAACGATCTCCATCAACCAGACACAACCGAACGCACATGCCACATGACCATTCATGCAGGTACAACCATACATGCAGGTACAAGCGGCGCTACATGTAAAAGTTGAAATTCTTAAAAATGTGGCGTTCATGTGCAAGACGCTGCAAAAGACACAAAATGTGAGTGCAGTGGTCTTGCACGTCCGTCTAGAGTGTATTAACATAAAAAAACAATGGAAAAGTATCGCATTGGAATGGAAAAACGCATTCTGTGTGAGCAGCCCCTTAGGGTGGTGTAGCAGTGGTCAAGGATAATAGTCAGTGCTTAAACACAACCACACAGTGGTCACTTTTAATACAACTCCCATTTCAGCGGTTACATGCAGCAGTAGCTTTCTGTAACTGACAGACATGCACAATTTATTTTAGGACCTGTGGTAGGTGTGTTAAACACCTTACAGTAATGTAATGCACATAATGACATGGCTTCACAATGATAATCTAAAAATAGCAATAATGACATGTTGACTTACGGCGAGATGAAGTTCTTCTGCACCAGGAAAGCAGAAACTCCACACAGGTTCCACAGCAGGTGATGATGGGCCCAATCCAGGAGCACATCCAACACCTGCATCCAGTGGTGTTTCCATGCGGATGAGAACCGCGGCGTCCCATCGCCAAACCGACTCAGACTCCACGGCCGATGGGTCAATGCGGTCACCACATTAGGATCCGCCTGCCGCATCTGGAAAAGATCAGCCAATACACCTTTATATTAGTGTATAATTGTCAAAAAATGAGGAAATGCAGATCACATCAAATGCAGTCAGGCTGGATTACGTTACCCTATAGATGACTTTGGGCTCAAATGAGCAGACGATGCTTGTGTTGTAGAGCACTGGATACTTCTGGAATAATTCTTTCAGTGCTGCAGCTGCCTGCGGACAACAGATACATGAAAGCATTAACATTCTGCTCTGCTAATGCAAGAATCACACAGTGGTGGCCAAAATGATTAGAACACTAGTATTTTCACCAGCTAAAAATGGCCACCACTGTAAATCAAGTTCTTGTTAAGCAAGATCTTTGAGAAAACCTATGGACAAGAAATAGTCCCAGCAATAACGGACAGTTGCCAGTTGTCCTGTAAATTGCGACAGTTGTCAGTACCTCATCTGGATGACCTTTGACGTCAAAGTAGATGGTCAACTGGCGCTTGATGCATTCCTCTACAGCCTCCTGCAGCGTTGGAACCTTCTCACCTCGGAAACGGTCACTGCTCGCAACCAACAAAAACATACCACCTGCTGTCTTTAACTTGGTCTTGCTTATTTATACCCTATGTATGAAACAAGGCTGTCTTTCTTCCCATCTAACCTGAATCTGTGTTTGGCCGCTGCGTCCAGTTTGCGCAGTTCAGAGAAGAGCAGCTTGCTCAGTGGTCCCGATCCGTTTGTGGTTCGGTCCACGGTGTCATCGTGCATCAGTATGGGAACCCCATCAGCCGTGAACTCCAGGTCCAGCTCCACACCCGTGGCTCCATTCTCACTCGCCTTTCATTTAGAAATGAGAGTCATTATAAGAGGAAGAAACCAGTGCTTGGTGTGAAGATATAATACCACAAAACCAAAGTTAATGCAATGCTTTCACAATGTGCGAAAGGTACAAGAAATACAAGAAATGAGCTTTTGAGGTTAAAGATCATGTGCTGGTAATTTAAAAAAAAAAGAAGAAGAAACAAACAAAAGCAGACATTTCCAGTGTGCAATAAAAGAATATTAAATACTTAAATGGAGCAAATGGTTAGCCCTTCCATTCACTGACAAAGACTCAACTTAAAGTTATCTTGGCTAATGGGCCATTCACACAGAATGCGTTTTTAAAACGCGACAGGCAAGTTAGGAATGGCAATTTAAAAAAATTAAATAAAATTTAAAAAAAACCTGTAAAATCTATATACGCGTTTTTTAAATTTATTAAACGTTCTTGAGCGCTGCCTTTTTAGCATCTCAGTTCAGCTCACAGAAATATTAATCATAAAATGTATATGTAAATGCAATATATTTATAGAATTCATATAAATTATACTTTATATACTGTGAATACTGTTGGCTCTATGCTCCTGTTTTGTACGTCGCTTTGGGAAAAAGGCGTCTGCAAAATGAATACATGTCAATTTTGTTTTATAAACAATCTAAATATAATATTTACATCGCAACACTCCTCAGCTTTCGGTTCTCTCGAGTCGGACATGTTTGAAAGAAACGATTCTCTGTTCAATCAGCCAGTGAACCGCTATATTTGATTCTTTAAAAACGTATTCATTGGAACAAGCTGAACAGATTCATTGAAAAGATCCGACTCAAAAGAACGATTCGCTCACAAATCGAGCATCGCTTCTGTCAGCGATGTGATACACCTATGATATGCTGCTTTTATCACTTTAAGTGTAGTCTTTAAAAATAATAAGCTTAAATTGCTGAATTTAAGTTGCTAAATCAATACTACCACGAGAAGGGAAAAAAACACATTTAAGCACTAAAACATGAAACAGAAAGCAGCATAACGATGCTCACCGCCCGTATAGCAGCGATTGTGTTCTCAGGGGCGTCGTGTCCTCCGCCGCGGTGCGCCACCGCTGACGCGCCGCTCGACGACGCTCCGGACGCGGGCCGAAGCACCTGTCTGGCCCGGCTGGAGGGGACCTGCGGGAACCGGAACATCACCAGAAAGAGGTAGAGAGAGGCCGTGAGCACCGTGGGCCAGACGGCGCTCCTGGTTCCCAGCAGAACCACGACGAAGACAACAGAGAACAGCGTGAGCTCGTCTCCAAACTGAAGCATGATGAGAAAGCGAGCCTACAAACACACGAGCGCTATTACTGCAAATAATCGATCGGTGATCAATAAACATGTAGCATCAGCGGTATTCTGCTCGGTCGATATAAGCGTCGTTGCTTTCAGATGAGATCCGCATCGCGAGTGTCGTCAAAATGTTGATACTGGAGTGTTCAGCCTTGAGTCAGTCATTCATCGCCACACAACTGTGTCACAAACCTGCTGCTGCTTGCATTAATGAACTGGCATGAAAATGTATTGAAGACATCACGAATACATTGCGAAATCGCTTGCGTGACCAGTTTGACTGCTGACCTCAGCACAATAAACAGCATTAACTGATATTAATGACAGCCTAAGTAAATGTATTTACATTCAAGCTGCTTGATGAACAAAGAGCGCAAGATCTCTAAAATATAATAACTATCTGACGCGATGCCAATTGGTGGAAACTTCCTACTATAGAAAATAACAACTTGACTATGACATAAAAGTTCCTGTGTTTAACAGATTTTTGGTTAGGCCTATAAGTAAATTTCACGTATTGTTATTATTATTAATTTCAAAACATTTTAAATTTAGCAAGTTTATATTAAATTATTTCATTACAATAACAACTCAGAGACTTTTATTTTGAAGTGTCCAGCTTCACTGAAGCACTGCGCGATGCACTGAACTTGTGTGGAGATGTAAGTGCTTTCAACAATGCATATATTGTTAATTTGAATACATTTCATTAACTTATCTTGGCCATTTGTTTTGTGTATTTTCTTTGTCATTATTATATCTTAGCTGCCTAGAACACGAGTTGCAAATACCTTTTATTCAAACTGAGTTCACACAAGGATTGTATGACTTAAAAATCCCTGTGTAAAGGATGAGGAAAAAAAATAAAAAGGCAACTAAAAATACAATATTCTATCATTTTATTTAATTTTACAATTTAAAACAGTTTTACATTTCAAAAGTATATAAATTATTTCATTATTTATTTAAGTTATTTTATTGCGATAACGACACAAGGACCTTTAGTTTGAAGTTCCGCTGCCTGACTTTATATCCCGCTTCACAGAAGCACTGCGCAATGCACTGAACTTGTAAGTGCTTTCAAAGCTGCATAAATTGTTGACATTAATACAATTTATTGAATTATTTTGCTATCGTTGGTGTATTTTCTTTCGTTATCGAATATGTAGAAGTCTGAAACACTTTAGCAAATATTCTCAATTTGAGTTCACGTAAGGATTGCCCTTTACAGCCAGTAACGTTATCTTACTCTAACTACTATCTATACCCACAGGTTAAACGTGGTTCATGTATTTTTTTAATTTAAGCAAGTATGCTATATTATCTAGTCAATTGTAAGCGTTTGTCCTTGTAATAACTATTGTTGCTAGCGATGGGAAAAACGAACCTTTTCGAAGCTTCGAATCAATTTAAATTTCAATTGCTTCGCAGAATGGTTCACTGTTTCGAAGCGCTCGAAACACCACATGCTAGTGACACCTGCTGGTTAGAATTGTGAAAAGGGCAGTTAAAAATTCATTGCAAATGTTTTATTTAAAGTATAATACACTAAATTTTATATATAATATATATATATATATATATATATATATATATTGTATAATTTATATAAATTATACATTGTTTACTTTGAATATTGGTGGCTTGGTGCTCCTGTATTGTAAGTCGCTTTGGCAAATAAAAATAAAAAAGCATCTGCCCAATTTTCGTTCGTGCAAATTTTGTTTTGTAAATAATCTAGATATAATATTTGCATGTATATTTGCATTACAACACTCCTCGGCTTTTGGTTCATCACGAGTCGGACATGTTTGAAAGAAACGATTCTCTGTTCAATCAGCCAATGAACCGCTGTATTTGATTCGTTAAAAACTCTTTCATTTGAACGAGCTGAACCGATTCATTCAAAAGATACGACTCGTTCACGAATCGAACATCGGTGCTGTCAGTGTGATACTTGTTGTATCACTTTATGTGTTGTCTTTAAAAATAAGCATGCAGTTGCTTTAAATTAGCACTGCCACGAAAAAAAAAACCATATTTAAACATTTAAAAAAATAAAATAAACCAGCATAATGACATGCTCACCGCGCGTATAGCAGCTATGGTGTTCTCTGGAGCGTCGTGTCCACCACCGCGGTGCGCCACCGCTGACACGCCGCCCGACGACACTCTAGACCCGGGCCGAAGCACCCGTCTGGCCCGGCTGGAGGGGACCTGGGGGAACCGGAACATCACCAGAAAGAGGTAGAGAGAGGCCGTGAGCACCGTGGGCCAGACGGCGCTCCTGGTTCCCAGCAGAACCACGACGAAGACAACAGAGAACAGCGTGAGCTCGTCTCCAAACTGAAGCATGATGAGAAAGCGAGCCTACAAACACACGAGCGCTATTACTGCAAATAATCGATCGGTGATCAATAAACATGTAGCATCAGCGGTATTCTGCTCGGTCGATATAAGCGTCGTTGCTTTCAGATGAGATCCGCATCGCGAGTGTCGTCAAAATGTTGATACTGGAGTGTTCAGCCTTGAGTCAGTCATTCATCGCCACACAACTGTGTCACAAACCTGCTGCTGCTTGCATTAATGAACTGGCATGAAAATGTATTGAAGACATCACGAATACATTGCGAAATCGCTTGCGTGACCAGTTTGACTGCTGACCTCAGCACAATAAACAGCATTAACTGATATTAATGACAGCCTAAGTAAATGTATTTACATTCAAGCTGCTTGATGAACAAAGAGCGCAAGATCTCTAAAATATAATAACTATCTGACGCGATGCCAATTGGTGGAAACTTCCTACTATAGAAAATAACAACTTGACTATGACATAAAAGTTCCTGTGTTTAACAGATTTTTGGTTAGGCCTATAAGTAAATTTCACGTATTGTTATTATTATTAATTTCAAAACATTTTAAATTTAGCAAGTTTATATTAAATTATTTCATTACAATAACAACTCAGAGACTTTTATTTTGAAGTGTCCAGCTTCACTGAAGCACTGCGCGATGCACTGAACTTGTGTGGAGATGTAAGTGCTTTCAACAATGCATATATTGTTAATTTGAATACATTTCATTAACTTATCTTGGCCATTTGTTTTGTGTATTTTCTTTGTCATTATTATATCTTAGCTGCCTAGAACACGAGTTGCAAATACCTTTTATTCAAACTGAGTTCACACAAGGATTGTATGACTTAAAAATCCCTGTGTAAAGGATGAGGAAAAAAAATAAAAAGGCAACTAAAAATACAATATTCTATCATTTTATTTAATTTTACAATTTAAAACAGTTTTACATTTCAAAAGTATATAAATTATTTCATTATTTATTTAAGTTATTTTATTGCGATAACGACACAAGGACCTTTAGTTTGAAGTTCCGCTGCCTGACTTTATATCCCGCTTCACAGAAGCACTGCGCAATGCACTGAACTTGTAAGTGCTTTCAAAGCTGCATAAATTGTTGACATTAATGCAATTTATTGAATTATTTTGCTATCGTTGGTGTATTTTCTTTCGTTATCGAATATGTAGAAGTCTGAAACACTTTAGCAAATATTCTCAATTTGAGTTCACGTAAGGATTGCCCTTTACAGCCAGTAACGTTATCTTACTCTAACTACTATCTATACCCACAGGTTAAACGTGGTTCATGTATTTTTTTAATTTAAGCAAGTATGCTATATTATCTAGTCAATTGTAAGCGTTTGTCCTTGTAATAACTATTGTTGCTAGCGATGGGAAAAACGAACCTTTTCGAAGCTTCGAATCAATTTAAATTTCAATTGCTTCGCAGAATGGTTCACTGTTTCGAAGCGCTCGAAACACCACATGCTAGTGACACCTGCTGGTTAGAATTGTGAAAAGGGCAGTTAAAAATTCATTGCAAATGTTTTATTTAAAGTATAATACACTAAATTTTATATATAATATATATATATATATATATATATATATATACCATTAAATATAAAATGTCTGTTTTTTTATTTGCAGGGTTTGTTTTGTTTGTTTTATGGAAAGCTTGTAAATGGAGGCCAGTAAGACACTATTAACTACTACTCATCCTTTTAGGCCTGGTTTGACACACAGGGTTTAGGTTAAGCCAGGATTAGGCAATAGTTCAATTAGGACATTAAGTAGTTTTTATAAACATGCCTTAGGAAAAAAACAATACTGGTGTGCATCTTGAGACAAAACAAAGGCACTGACATATTTTAAGATCAGTTAGTGCAAGTTTCTTTCAGCTGAAACAGCTCAGACTTACATTTTAGTCTGGGGTTAGGCCTAAGCCTGGTTTGTGAAACCGGGGGTTAGTTACGCAAATGTCTCGTTAAAAATGTTTACAAATTGATGAAACTGATCCGAGATCAGGAAAACCCATAGACGCTGGTTCAATGGTTTGCCGCTGGGGGCGATCTCAATGAACTCGCATGATTCGAAACGTTTCAAAACAGTTTTGACATAAAGAAGCCTCGTTTACTGAAATCACATGACTTTGGCACTTCGATACGCGCTCCGAACCAATGTTTCGAAACAAACGATTCACAAACGTTTCGAAGCTTCACGAAGCAGTGCTTCGAAAGCGCCCCTCACTAATCGTTACCATGGTTACTGTCTCCTCAGATGATGTCCGCACGATTAATCCGCATTTCCCGTCTTCCTCTCTATGGGTGTCATCGTGCAGGACTGATTTCAAACTCTCATGTGCAATACGGCAGTGACCTGGTGCATGTGGGTCGACGGATGCCCATTACAGTCACACACACTGTACAGATCCAACCTGCGTCCCTCTGTTCTGACCTTGCCTCAAGGAAATACAGTCCAGTTTACACTTTTCCGGCTATCAAAGGCCTGCGGGCGCTTTCTAGACTCAAACTGATGCAGACGGGCATCACTGTCGTCTTACTGCCCGCAGTGTATTACCTCTACCTGCAGGGACAGGCGTCAGTAATGCTGCTGAGTTACTCCACAGGCATCGCCGTGTTCGCCGGCGTCATGCTGTACTCCATAAGCCACTATGTCAGACGAGTGGTTGGCATGATGTATCTGGATTCAGCGCAGACCGTCTTAAAGGTGTCACACCTGACATTTTGGGGTCACAGACGGGACATATACGTGCCAGTGTCAGATGTCATGACTCTGGGAGATTCAGGGGATACCGAAGGAGAGCCGATCCTGCGTTTAAAGCGCTACAGCTGTTCTGATACGATGTACTTCTCTACCAGACTGGGACGAGTGGTGGACAGAAATGCTTTTGAGGAAGTTTTTGGGAGTTTGTCATGAATTCACTTTCTCTTGTTTTTTGTTTTTTTCATGCACCGTTAGATATTGTTTTGTAATTTAAGTGACGAATAAAGAATTTTTTATTTTACATAATTCATGGAAAATGTTAATAGAGTGGTCCGGAGGTTATTTATTTTGACGTGTTTTTGTAGGCCAACCCAGAAGTTAGCATCACCCTGGTTCCCACACACACACACACACACACACACACACACACACACAAACTAGTATTGTATTGCTGCAGAAAATAAGCTCTGTGGCCAATAAAAGCTGTCGGTTTCTTGTGATGATTTTAAATCTGTATTAACCTCAGAACGATCTTAAAGTAAAAAGAGGTGTTAAAGTCTGAATTTGTGGTGGCAGTGCGTTAAAATTAAATAATTATAATCTTAATTCAAGTAAAGAAGGATTTTGAAAGTCTGACAGTAATCACATCAGTGTTGAGCACTACTGTAAGGTTAACCCTGCCGGCTTTACATTTTTGAAAATGATTAACAGCTGAAAACATTTGTTCGAAATTTAGAAAAATAATCAAATGTAATCAGTTACATTGCTTCTAATTCAATTGAAGTAATTGAAATAGTTACACTACATTTTTAAATAGGGTAACTTGTAATCTATAAGCTTGTAAACTTCTAAAATCTATTATATTTCCAAAGTAACCTTCCCTACACTGAATGACAATCTTCTCAAATTAACACAGTTACTTACTATACCACGGTTGCACCACCGTTTAGCTTATGCAAGTATAGCAAATATACAAGTTTGAACATTTTTATTTATTTTTTATTTTTTGCAATTTTACACAATGGAGCTGTGAAAGTGGACAAGTGAATAAATTAGTGTACTTGTTTGGCATCATGGCATTTCATGTCCCAGACAAACTCTGTTGTCCCATGTAGCAAGGTGTTAGCAGCTGCCTTCTTCAAGACACATAAATCCTTAAAAAATTAAATCAGGCATTACTGGTGTATTTTATGTCATGGAATAAAATGTTATACCACAGACCATGTGAAACACAGACCTTTGGCCTTTTTAGTTTTTAACACAGACCATTTAACCAAAAACCCAGTCTGACTTGAGTATACTTGTGTACATTATATATAGGCGTAATGTATACTCCAGGACAGCAGGTGGCGCGAGCGACATATTCAGTTGCTAAGCAACCCACAGAAAAAACACTCGACGCTTCCCTCTCGAGTCCAACATCGCAAACGACCCACACAACACAGTCTGGAGGTGAAATTCTAACTGCCGTTTTGTCTTTTACAGCTTTAATACTTCAAGGTAAGTCAACATTTATTTAAATCTCAACCAACACGTAGATTTCACCCATTGTTCTACAGCGCGTTACTGGATTTACTTTTTGTTCACGTAACTTGCTCTTCTTTCCTCTGCTTGGACTTTGTTTTATGTTAGCGTTGCTATAATTATTCTACAGTGCATGATGGAAAACCTATAGGCTCATGGTGAGCGAAGTAACATGCGAAAAGGGGCTGTTAAAAGAGTCAATACGGTGTTTGAATCTTTGGAAAAACGAGTTCATTCCCAGCCTGGAAAGAGGCCAACCAAAGATGGCGCTAGTTTTGAGATTGATGCTTATGAAAGCGAGGAGGAGGTTTTTCTAGTGATTTGGCAAACTCTTTGTCAGGTTGGGCAGTTGAGTTTGGCGTTTCTTTGGTTGTTCTTACAGCATTCCTTCTTTCCGAAAGATGGATATTCTTTGCTCAATACAACAAATCAGTATGTGCTGGAAAGGTTATCAGGCGGCTGTTTATACTCTTTGGGAATATTGAACAACCTTGGTAAAACGTTTGAGAACCTGTTTTTTAAAGTTCCAGAAAGACATGTATTCAAGTTACAACTAAATATAGATGGTCTGCCTTTGTTTAAAAGTTAATCTCTTCAGATTGTATTATTATAAGACCAGTTTTAATTGCTTCCCTTTCAGACTACCTAGATGCTCTTGTAAGAGAGCTAAATAGCTTGAGAGAAGGATTTGTTATTTGTGGCAAGACTTTTTGGTTGCAGGTAACTTCAATTATATGTGATGCTCCTGCTAGAGCCTTTGTCAAATGCATTAAAACTCATACTGGCCATTCTGGATGTGACGGGTGTGTTCAGTCAGGCGTCAGTATTTCCCTTAGATTCATGCATTTCAAATCACTGGCAGCGTTTCCCCTGCCATTATTTTAGGGGGGCGGCCCGCCCCCCCAACGGCCCCCCCCGCCCCCCTTGAAAGTCAAGTTAATATTTAATTCTAT